AATTCGTCCTTCTAGAAACTTTCCTCACTCAAAATGCACACTTCATCTCTAACCGGCTGTTCATGGGATCCAACTGGAGTGAAACTTGCTCTCTCTGCTGAAAATTTGATCTGGTTTGCGAATGTTAGACCGAGATACAAAGTGAGCAGCTAACCTAGTTTCCTTCAAGAATCAAGTATAGTATATCCTATTCTAGTGGGGTTACTGTGGTCATACTGTTGTTTACTCCTACGAGAGAGCAGAGCGTGGTGACTACAGAGTGGTATTCTACGAAACAAAGCTTGACGAATCATATTCAAAGCCGGTACGACAGTTGGAGCAACTGGCTACGGGAAATGACTACTGTATTATAGCGAATCGTCAGGAGGACTCTATGGGAAAGGTTGGAATGGTCAAATTTTCTCATTCTTAAGTATTAAAGCTCAGTCCATTTAGGTCAGTTTAAGAGTCAGTTCAAAGGTTTACTATCATGTACATTAAAATTAGATATGCAAGTTCATATCCTATGTAGAGTAAACGTACCAAAGTTTTGAGTGCGCTTAAACCTTAGCCCAAAATCAATTTCTAAAAACTGGTTTTTTTAGAGACCTTATTTATACAGTAACTTCAAGTTGATTGTATGACCATCTGACTGTTCTGTTTTAGTGTCTTCTACAACTATGCAACAATATTGGCACCTGCATCGACCTAAAGGTATTTTCAAAAATTTAATAAATTGAATTTATCCTTTATTATACGTTCTCATAATTAAAAAAACAGAAAAATTCAATCAATAATTGATCCACAATATCCAACGAATTAGTCAAAAAGTCAAATGTGATTTTGTTCATCTAATAAGGGCATCCCAACCTCTCCATATAAGTACATATGATAGATAACTAAAAAGAACACGTTCAGTACGTTGACATCGAGCCCAACTGTATTTCCCTGAACAACTGGGTAGCTGTGGTGGCTGGTGGAGAATCCTACTTTATCTGGCACTTCTTCGTCCCACATAAAACCTCTTTGCCCAGACCAAGCGGGTCCGCGACTGAAGACAGGTAAACCTTCTCATAGGCATTTATTAACCCTTCCACTCGCTCATTGTTTAGAATTCATAAGTTAGAAGATGCACCTGTTGGGAAGGACGCGATAGGGAGAAGAAAGGTAACAATCAAATTTGGGCATATTTGCTAGTTTGGAAAAATTTTCTAAGTTTGATCCAGACTTTTGTGCTAAGTTTGATTCAAACTTTTGTGCTAAATTTCAAAGGAGACACCTATATACGTGTATCAAAACAAATAAGAATTTTCTG